TGGCAACGACGTTGTAAAACAAGCCAATTCACTTCTTGAACTCGGCAACCAGGTTACCGTAATTTTTTTACTCCTGTTTTTTTCTTTGGCGGTAGCCATCATGGTGGTCGAGTAGATCATGTTGTGCGGGTTGGAGAAGCCTCACTCCGCGCAAGGGGGATGATCGCACCATGTTGTGTTAAAATGGTCAAGCACCCTCGAGGCAGTCACACAGTGCTCACAACTGTGTCAGGAAGTGAAAATACCACAAAATAAATTAAGTCATCCGCAGCTGTCATCCGTATGCAAGGAAGTGAGCACAAGATGCCGAACACCCTTAGCAGGATGCAGTGCACCCTTCATGCGACTCGCCGAATACCTCACGGCGCTTCGCGCTTGGTGATGTGAGAGCCTGGTCCGGTGAGAACCCGGCGTGCTCCGTCCCGGCTTTGTAGGGATGCGAGGCCAATGGTCTAACGACGACGGGATGCACGACTATGAGTACATCCCCCCTCCCCCCCCCCTCACCTCTCCGAGCTTCATCCCCAGAACCCCCTCGCACTCCTCCACGCCCCCGGGGGTCTCCATGTGCTCCACAAGCTCCGAAACCAGCCCCCACTTCCCCTCCCGCTGCAGTCGGTTGGCCACCCGGCGAACCGAACCTCGGAGGGAATCGGCCACGGAGGGACCCCCCCACTCCAGCGAGTGGCCCTCGCCCTTTCTGCCGGCCTTGCCGACCCCAAACGCGGAGATGATCTGCGTCCCCTCGCGCGCACGCAACAGAATAAACGAGAAGGTTTGTAACGAAATCGACGTTTTGCTCTACGGTGGTGGTGGCCGCGGCGGCGTGTCGAAGGCGGAGAGACAGCTTCAGCTTCGAGGAACAATCGACGCCGGGAGATTTGGCCTATATACATCGAACACAAAGTCAACTGCAACATGCGCATGTGGTCGGGGACGCTGATGGGGGGCGGGAGATGTTCACTTAACACACATCTTCGGCTTCGTGTATGCCCCGTGCTGCCGGGCTTCCCGAACCAAACAAAACCTAACGAAACCCCTCGCTCCCTTCCGGTCATCTGTCCTCCCCCGGTAGATGTTTCGCCCCGTGTGTATTCGTACGCATAAATATTTAGCTCTCGATTTCCCCTGCTCCCCCAATCTCTTCGTTTCCCGCCGAGAGCCCCACCACCTCAGATACGCTTGTCTGTCTCGGTTGTATCCCTGTCTTATCTCTTCCCGCCTCCCACCTTGAGGGCGACGTCAGCCGGCATCGCGACGGGCGGCGTCGGTGGCGGCGGCGGCTCTACCCGGGTCACGTCCAACAAGAACGCCGCGACTTGCGACTCCGGGAACCCTTCCGTTCCCAGCACCAAGCTGCCCCCTGTTGCACCGGTCGATAGGGGTGGCGAACGGCTGCGATGGCGTTGGTTGTTGTTGTGGTGCTTCTTGCGTCCCCCTGTTTCCCGAAGGAGGATACATGGGGCGGGAGAGAGGCGGGCGAACGCTCGGCCATTCACACCAGGTACCCGCATGATTCATCATGCGGCACCCACTTCCCTTCCGTAGAAGCCTGACTCCTTCAAAATGCGTCCATATTCCTAGCTCCCGATACACACATCGCATTGAATGCAAGCAAGTATAAAGACGGGGCAAGACGGCCAGCCAACTAACCAACACCCGATAGACCAATCTTCATCGACAATTGCGCGCCTTTTCGGCGACGGCTGCGCGGCAAACCCTAAAGACTAGCAACGTGCTATTTTTTTTCCTTCTAGACTGACCAAACAACATCTTACTTGCACCCAGTTTCTCAAGTTCAACCAAAAGCGAGAGGGAAAGCACCATCCGTCAAATCAGCGCTCGAGGCTACCACAACGATCGGGCGCATGGTTCGAGTTTACGTTATAACCCCTATCCTACGAGTGCAGCACAAACGTCGCCGGACACAGACCATGAAAAGCCGAACCTACGGTGCGACCACGACTCTCGTGACACCACCTACTGCTGCCGCCGGCATCGCACCTGCTGCGCCGGCGCTGCTGTTGGCTGTCGTTGCAGTAGTCGCGGAGGCCAGCGCGCGCAGCAACGCGTGCGCCGCCATGCCCGACAGCTTGGCCGGCACGGTCACTGCACACGAGTGACGGAAGACGCTGAGCGAGGCAGTCACGACCGCACGGCGCGCGGCCGGGGCTTGCCGTTCCGTCGCCAGGAACGATTTCATGGCGGACGCGAGCTTACGCTGGACCACCGTGAACGGAAGGTTCTTCGGTTTGTGGTTCTGTTCGTCCGGGGGGGGAGCGGCAGACGGCGGCGGCGGGCCGAACAAAAACGCACACACGGGCAGAGTCACCGGACCATGCGGGGATGGAGGTTGATCGCTGATACCGTCGGGGGTTCAGACGGTGCGGCGTTTTGTCTTTGGCGCCTGCCGCGAGAGAGCAATGCAAGTGCCGTGCTGCCGAAAACACATGATGAAAGCGAACTTCCGTAGCCTGGCCAACGCCCACGAGCCCGCTCCCTCCAGAGCGCAAACAAATATTTGCCGCATGCAGTAGTGCTTGAAACGAATCAAGACAAAACCCATGTAGACAACCTGAGCAGGACTTAAGTGTACCGATGTTCTCGCACACACGTATCAACAAGGATGGGAGCTCCACCAGGACTATCTACCACCGAGGCGAACCAGGAATGGGGACCGCAACATCAACTTCAAGTAAGGGTAGCACGCTGCTACACCACAGCAGTAGGGTCCACTAACCTTTGAATGCAGATATGCATGGATTGGAGCTACATAAGTTCAAAGGTATCGAAGGTTTGGAGGTGTCAACGTTGCGATAGATTACATCATTTACCCGGCGGATCATCAGAGGATTCGGAGGATCCAAGCGGCGCAATTGGATTCAATAATATCCGACTCGAAACACTAGATACGGAAAAAATGAAGTAGATATCCTTGCTAAAGCAACCGACTTCGCCCACGCGCAGCGCGTCATCTGTCGAACGAAAACTCCAGCGCAGTGCAAACATAGCCCAAGCGTAGCATACTGCGAGGTTACCATCTTGCCTGTGGCTCGGTGCTGAGCACTCCCAACATCGAAGCCGCCAGCACTTGATCGAGAGGGCAGGTCAGGACCGCAAAAGAAGCGTCTTTGATCGGCGTCATTACCGCCGCGTCCGGCACATCTCGGTGCGACTCCAGCAACCTGCCGAACTCCTTGTCGAGCTCGGTCGCCATTTCCGCCATGACGAGTGCAGCATGAGTGCGTGGTGAGAGCCAGCACCAACAAGCCACGACCTACACAACAGCAGTAGGGGGCTTTCTGTGAACACCGACATGGCAGGGGGGGGGGGGAT